TTTTCCCAAGCTCTCACCTTCGCTTTTCCTTGGAGCTTTCGTTTTGAAGCAACGCTAGCCCACCAAGTAGAGGCATGTCTTTGAAACTTTGCCGCCACTAGCTTGACCTTCTTGTCTTCGGGCACGTCTTTGAGTGTAAAGACGTCTTCAACTTTTGCTAGCCACTTTGAGAACTTCTCCGGGTCGTTTCTTCCCTCAAGCGTGGGAATCTCCACTGAATTAGTGAGCTCCTTGATTTGTTTCATCACAAGCTCAACTTCCTTCTTTAGTGTCTCTTGGGAAGCAGCTAATTCCCCTTGAAACATGTTTTGAGAAGAGCTTGGCATGGTGGATATATTGCTTGAAGAGTGTATGGTTGACAAAAGAGATGAGGGAGGCGTGTCAAGATGATCCCTTAGGGATGTTCAACACAAAGCTCTGATACCAAATGTTATACCCAAACCGGGGGTCTAAACGAGTTGCTATTTTGAGGAGGACTCAAGGAATGATTCAGCTTTGAGTTCAGGGTTCTGGAGCAGGAGATAATCGATTTACACAAAGTGACAATCGATTACTGAAGGCTGCAGAATTTCTGGGGAAGCTGATAGTCGATTATCTGGAAAGGATAATCGATTATTGATCCCTGCAGGTGTTTCCAATGGGATTGATAATCGATTGTGGGGAATGATAATCGATTATTTGGCAGAATTCTGGGCAGGAAGAAGGGTGTTTTTGTGGGGGAATGGACTGGGAATATATGGAGTTGATGAGGGAGTTCTTTTGGGTATTTTAATTGGAAGAAAAGAGTGAGATTAAGAGGAGAAATGGGGGAATATGAAATGGAAGAAAATCAGGGATGGATAAACCAAGTTGGTGTTTAAGAGATATTACACACTCTTATCCTAACTTGGGGTTTGAATCTAGAATTTAATTAAGATATGACACACTTAATTAAATATCTAGAACCTAAAACTCACACTTAAGATAACCACTCTTAAGATATAGAATTAGGAATTTGGCTAAAATAGCATCACACTATTTTAATAATACTCAAAGAGTAAAAGATTTTCAATATTCAG